TTTTTGTGCGCAAAGAAAACAAAAATAACGACTTTATTCAACAATTCATCTCCTCCGCGTCACCCTATAGCGCCATTCTGGAGAGTATCACATACGTAAACAATGTATGCAACGTATGTACACGGATACGTTTTTACGTTCGGATCAAAGCGTAAACAAGTTCAGTGGATACTCTCCAAAATTGGCGCTATAGGGTGACACGGAGGAGACGAATTGTTGAATAAAGTTGTTATTTTTGTTTTCTTTGCGCACAAAAAGTTTTCTCATAGCTTCGTAAAATTACGGTTGAACCACTGATGTCACATGGATTATTTTAACGATGTTCTTGCTACGTTTCTGAGCCTTGATCGTGTTAGGATCCTTGTTGTCTATGAGAGGGTCAGAGAGCTCGGAATTCATCAAAAATATCTTAATTTGTGTTTCGAAGATGAACGAAGGTCTTACAGGTTTGGAACGACATGAGGGTGAGTAATTAATGACAGAATTTTCATTTTTTGGTGAACTATCCCTTTAAGATATGCTTTTGCTATTTTTTGGGGGGTGTTAATTGCAAAAATACCAGTAAATTGATGCAAACCTTAGTAAAAACCCTAGTCACCTTGCATGATTAATTTTAATCTCCTCCCATAAATTTGGCGCCTGAAAGGGAAACTCCAACTAATGCACCTTTTCATTACCATTTTCCCCTTACATTAGTAAATCTGGCCCAAAGTCTACTAAAATTGTAGCAAAAGATCTTCATGTTTTGTGCGATGACACCTCCACCCCATCTCAGGGTCTTCCGCCAGGGAAGCTCTCCAAGTGTAAACCACAGTCGTCCCCAGGACACTCACAGTTTACCAATGAGTCATCAAAGGGAAGAGGTGGGGATTCGCTAAGAGAGATCATGTGATTCACTTTGGATTAGCAGAGGATGATAGTCCTCGAGGGACAGCTGTGAAAAATAAAAGCCGAGAGGGTGACTGTGATCTAAGAGACACGGCTAGATCCCTACAGCTGGCACAGACAGACTAGCCGCAGCTGACCATAAAAGAGCTAAACCACGTTTAACATTCTCTGAGGTCAGAAATAGGTAAAGCGTGCAGTAATAAAGACCAGGCTGGATTACCAACTGGATGTGTGGAGCCACTGGTCTAGGATGAGCCAGCATAAAAGGGACATTGAGCTTTGACTCTGGGTTGAAAGCTACGGTCCTATGGGTTGGAGCAGATGGTGATTTAATGGTGTGTGGTGTAATATAGTAAGACAACCTGAGAGTAAAACTCCTATTCAATGATCAACGAGCCACATTCCTAGCAAGGCAGATAAAAATGCAAGACCTTTGATCACTACAGGATGTTGAGCCATATTAGCGCAGTCTTTCACAGGTACCTAAGGGAAACGCAATGCATTACTAGAAGGACCACTCAGCAACACACAATTGTGCTGAAATCAGCCATTTCCAGGTCACTTCCAGTGTCGATTCTCAAAATAAGTTCTTCCCCAGTTTCCCGACAACTAAATTCGATAAGTGTGTGGGAACGAGATGACGAATGCAAAGAGTGGATTATGCAATTACTTTTATTTTACACTACTCGCATTATTGCCGTCTGACCTAGATAGACCCACAGGGCTATCGATTCGCTGATCGAAGAAAACCGACAGAACGGCTCGCAATCTGACAGGCTTCAGGAGTCTAGCGGCCTCCCGATCCTCCCACACCATCTTGGCTTGTGGCGCGGCTGTCTGTCTGTGGCGTCTGTGACAGGAGGCTGATTGGAGAATTTTCTGGTGTCACTCTTTGCTGAGAGAGTGCTGAGCGAGTGGATCGTCGCACCATTGGACGCTATGTCACAGCAACGAGATTAAATGGTCTCACAGACAGGCTGTACTTACTCCAATGACAGGCGTGTGAAAAAAAAAAACCCTGAAAACTCGTCTTTTCAACAGCATCTATAAATTAAAGGGGTGGGGTGTTATTTTTCACAAGACTTGCTATGCCAGTTTAATATGCTGAGACAACTGGTTAAATGACAAAGAAACATCGTGCATAAGAAAAATTTTAATTGTTTTACAAATAGAGTTTAAAACATGTCATGACTTTGAAAAACATTTTCAAGAAAACTTTTAGTCTAATGACTAAAATGACTAAATGACTAGTCTAATTTAGTCTACATTTCATGAAATGTCATGTGGTGTAACCAAGTAACAACAAGTCCTCCTTTTATTTCCAAATGTAATTATTATTTTCAAAAAAAAGTTTAGTTATGTAAAATTCTCTCACATACCATAAATTATTAATTCATACATAAAAAGGTTTTGTGGTGTCGCACCGCATGACACATAACATTTTTCAACCTAAACCAACCTTGACTTGATATAAATGGGTCAAATTATCTGGCGATTTATAGACTTTGACGGTTCAATACGTACCTCTGTTTTTAACCACTGTTTTCGGTTCGGTTCGGTTCTGATAGCTTGGCACATCAGAGTGTTGTTTTGCAACAAATTAACAACAAAAAAACTTGTGTAAACCTCTGCACACTGGAAAATCATGGATTATTATATGTCTGCTTAACATTTCTTTTGAGAGAGGTATTATTTTTTTTCTAATTGGTACCCAAAATAGGATGGACTGGCAATTATTGAGCGCTGTAAACACATGTAATGCGTGTTTCATTCGTACTGGACGCCAGAGGGCGCCCTCGCGCAGAAAATCCACATATGCATCACAGAAGTCGCTATCGCTGTAACTTAATAAAAACAAGATATAACGTTAAACATTTTGAATGATGAAATGTAAGGACAATAAACACTCGCCTGCGACAATATATGGTTTATTTGTGTTCTTCAAGCCATCTCGGGTATTTTCATAATGATTAAGTATATTTGTAAGCCATTTCTAATCGACATAGCCTTTATTACAGTATAGAATATATTTTCTGCCTCATTCTGTGATAAGAAGCCACATTAGATCACAAAAGGAATTTATTTCAAACACTCGACTGATGTTGTGTAGTAAAAACAAGTTATAATGTTCTCTTTTGTTGGACAACAGGTTTAGAAAGGCTTATCAATGCATGTCATTACAAGGGAAGATGCTCGACGTGTGTTTTTCAAATATAAGCGGGCAGGCATTTCCTCATCTCAGCACATGAACTCACGGACTCACACACACAGATTCTGAGAGAAATAAAACACACGGATATTATTTAAATGCAAAACCGAAAAAAATGTAATTCACAAGCGCGTATTGAACCGTGGATGTCGTACCGAACGGTTCGATATTATATTGAGAATTGTGACATCCCTAATAGATAGATAGATATTAATAAGCCGTTTTATTGATACATTTCTTTTCTAAGAAATAATAATGGAAGATCTTGGACCTAACTACATAAGGTTTTCTTCATTATGATATCAGTTGCATCACCCTGAGAATTTTTTACTTGATGCCGCTTTGTAAATTGCATTTATAATCGTATCTTTAAATAAATCAAGAGTCACTGACCCAATTATAAATAATCCATTCGTAGACTGATTTCCTGAACAAACATTCTCTGTTTGTCTGAGCAATCTGACACAACAAACACCAACACTAGTTCAACCCATAGTATGAGTTTGTGAAGAGTGTCCTTTAAGATATTTTGTTCAAATTTCGAAAGAAACCAGTGATCAATTTCATTCAACTGTGATTTATTGGTACTTTCAAAGCCACTCACCATCAGCGTCCACCTCATTGATCATGTCCTGCAGCTCTGCCTCCGTGGGGTTCTGACCCAGCGACCGCATCACTGTGCCCAGCTCTTTGGTCGTGATGGTGCCGTCACCATCCTTGTCGAATAAGGAGAAAGCCTCCTTGAACTCTGAGATAAGAAAAGGGCGGTAGCTGTATTTAGTGTCTGTTTCAAAATACACTAATCAAAGTGATCTGATTACATGCATGCACTCTCACCTGCAATCTGCTCCTCTGTTAACTGGTCGGCCTAGAAATCAAAAAGAAAAGAAATGCTGGTTACTAATTAGAGACAGGCAAAAAAACATTTCTGTTTTAGTATTTAAAAAATAATGCAATGCATCTCAATACACCAAGAAGAGTCTGATCATTTGCCATAAAACAAAAAAAAAACACAAAAAAAAAAAACTGATAATGTGACACTTGTAGCATGAAGTATACTCTTAAAAAGGTTCTTTATTGGCATCAGTGGTTCCATTGAGAACTTTTAAGAACTATGGAACCTTTCCATTAAGATTCTTTAAAGTGGAAAAGGAAAAAGGCTTCGCACTAAGAAAAAATGGTTCTTTTTAGGAACCGGTCACTGAAAGGTTCTTAGGAGAACCCGAAATGGTTCTGCCATTGAAGGTTTTCGGAACCATTTTTGGTTCCCAAAAGAACATTTCAGTGAGCAGTTCTTAAAAGAACCATTTCAATAACTCGAAGAAACTTTTTCCACTATAAAGAACCTTCTGTGCATCTGAAAGGTTCTACACCCTTACAAATAAAGGTTCCAACAGGGGGGTTTCACAGCGATGCCATAGAAGAACCATTTTTGGTTCCTCAAAGAACCTTTCAGTGAACAGTTATTAAAAGAAAAAAATGTAAAGAACCTTTTATGCATCGGAAAGGTACTATGGGTGTTAAAGATTCTTCATGGAACCATCAATGCCAATAAAGAACCTTTATTTTTAAGAGTAAACATTTTGTGTTTAAACTTCATGTGACATCCAAACAAAAACACTTTAGTTCATACAGTGGCATCAGATTACAGGACACTGACCAACAACAAACCAGGCCTTTGGTTAACAGCGAGGAGAGAAAAGCTTGTTGTATGAGTCTCAAGAGCTTGCTAAAGTGGATGAGAGCTGCTAGGAAAACAAATAACCCACATTATGAAGGGGAGGAGTGGGGCTAATGGGCCAAAGACAGAGGAACACACAACCATCACTTCAATCACACTAATTAATTATTCTACTTCCTTTCTGCATTAAGCAGCCATACTCACATGATATGCCATAATATGCAGCTGAGATCATCGACTTAAGAGCCTTTCTAATGCACACGCACTGGATCCAATAGTTCCAGCAGTTGAGTCACTGGCAGATATAATGAAGAAAGAGCACTGGTTTGTTGGATAAGTGGGTCTTCCTGCTGCCAGCTGTACGGCTCATTTCATTCCTCATTCATGCCCATGTGCCCAGTACCCAGGCAACCCCCATCACCCCCTCCCAAAGCTCATCCTGGCCCTGGGGGATGGGCCGCTGCAGCAGAGGAACAGACGCAGCTGCTCTGGGATGTGGAAGACTGTCTGAATCACTTCTCTTTTATAATGGCCAATAAATGGAAAGTAGTGGTTGTAGGTCGATAAAGATATCACAAACACGCACATTTAAGCAGGTGCTCTGAGACCCGACAATTCCCGAAACGTTCAACAACATGCTGCTTTTCCTAAACCTGTTCATCGTAAATCAGACCAACAGTTAATAGGCAGTTAGGAGTGGAACTGATAGTACTTTCTAGTAGTTGCCAGTGCAGTTGTCTTGATGTATATATATATATACATGCATATATACTGATATATCGACCAGGCCAATGTTCTGCAAATATTTGGCTGTTTTATCAGTTGTGCCATAGCTATGTGCTAATTCCCTTTTCAAACCACAATTCATACTCAAACATTTTTCATAATTATCAGTTTGTCAAAATTGTTGTCTGTAATTTTCGTACATATACATGTATAATTATATACAATGTTTATTCCAATATTAAATTTAAATATATAGCCATACAATTTAGCAACAATTACATTTCATTTCTCATAATTTTCAGTTTGTCAAAATTGTTGTATATAATTTCTGTACCTATACATAGATAACTGCATACATACAATGTTTATTTTGATATTAAATTTAAATATTATATACCCACAAAATTTAGTGACTATTACACATTTTTCATACATTTTTCATAAGTTGATGTCAAAATTTTTTTCTGTAATTTCCATACATATACATATATTAATAATTTTGTATATTTTTTTATTTCAATATTACATTTAAATATTATATACCCAACCAATTTTTTTTTTATTTACATTTTATTACATTTTTCATACACTTTTTTCAGTTGTGTCATAATTGTTGTCTGTAAATTTCACAGACTTACAGTTGTATTAAACATCATACACACACAATTTAGTGACAATTACACTTTTTCATTTTCATCATTTTCAGTTTGTCAAAATTGTTCTGTAATTTTTACACATGTACATATATTTATAACTTTATAAATTGTTTATTGCAATAATAAATTATGTACTACACATTACGTACACATATAATTTAGTGACAATTCAATATTTAATTTTCCATCATTTTCAATTTATGTCAACATTTTCTGTAATTTTTGTAAAAGAATGAGGCCAAGTTGGCTCCATGTAAAATAAATATTGGAAATCGTATTGGTCTCAGTTGTAAAACATAGGCTAATTAAACTATTTCAGCATCAAATTAATAATTACTGCTAATTAAAAATGACCTAATTACTGCATCTCTAATAGCAACATATTGAGCATTTACAGAGAATCTGACCATAAAATCAAGAAGTAAACCAAACTGAGTGAAATTTGAACTGCTCCTCCTCTATTTTCTATCGCACACCTGAATACTAAAAGATCTCTTCAACTCCTACAGAAACCGCATGACCGAATCACTCCAGCTGTACTTACTGTGCAGTGACACTACTGTCACCCATCTGCGTTGAGATGTGTTCATCTGAAGCGCTGTTCTACTGCTTATTAAAAATGTTCAGGCTAATGAATGTAGGTCAGTATACACACTACAGCATAATCCTCAAGAGTCCCAACACATAAAGCATGTGTTTCAGGGAACATTACATCATAACTTCACCCAGGACAGCTGTCTCCTACCAGATGCTGTTCCTCACTATTAGAACACACACAAACCCAATACAGAGATCAAACCAATGACAATAAACCAAACTCATATCTACTGCCAGTCCAGAAACATTAAACCATACGCACAAAAGCCCAGAGGAAAATGTTATTGCTCAGAGTTCTCTCTTTCACAGTTTAGAAGACTACACTCTAAAAAATGCTGGGTTAAATACAACCCAGTGCTGGGTAAAATAGGGCCAAACCCAGCAATTGGGTTGTTTTGACCCAGCGGTTGGGTTAAATGTTTAACCCAACCTTCTGGGTAGTAACCCAACCGCTGGGTCAAAACAGCCCAATTGCTGGGTTTGTCCCTATTTTACCCAGCACTGGGTTGTATTTAACCCAGCATTTTTTAGAGTG